ATTGCTACTTCTCCAAAATTCAACCAGTAGAGCAGGCAATGAAATGGTGAATGGGAAAGGGCCTCACAACGTGCTGTATTCTACAAATGCCAGTGCTCATTGTCCCTCACAGTCAGTGTTCTAGAACTTGACAACCTGGATTTCAAAAAAGGTTCCTTCTTCCTTCTACCCTCCAGGATCATGTGACAGGGTGCTCAGAAAAATTACCAATTGCCAAGGAAGATGACGACTTGGGGTGGGTGAGGAAATACCATCATTCCTTGCAAAAGGATTCTAAAGCCATCTCCACATCCACCCACTCCTAAGCAACGACCCAGCTGGCACCGATTAGTAAAGGAGCTGGTGAAGCGGTTTGCAGCAACAGGAGAAACAGACAAGTTCAGCAGACTGGTTCACATGCAGCAATTTAGAGACCCCCAAAGCTATTCAAGCAGGGCTCACCAAGCCAGGGCCCAACTTAGAGGGAAGATGGCAAACTCCAGGCCAGCAGGCTTCCCTGAAGCCTACTCTAAAATTTAAAGTCCTGGCAATGAGAAGTGGCCTCTCCAATCTGCCACTGCCCCAACTTTGCTGAGTACTGCCTTGGGACACCCTTTTGAACTTACTCCCCAAATATGGGCTGCTTCCTCTTCACACCCTTCCTCCTTGTACCCAGTGAGCCAAAGCCTCACTAGTTTGCCTTCAGAGTCTGGATTAAATCTTTTAAGAGATCACCATTACCTAACCCAGGCCAGGCAAAGAGCATGCACTCAGAAAACACATTTCAGCCAAATGAAAGCACGTTTGAATATCAGAAAAATGGAACTTTAAATACTAAAGCATCCTCTCTTTATACAGCCACACTCATCTTTCAGTCTCTTTCCCATTTGTTAGACAATTCTTTATAATCAATCTAAAAGAAAATATCCCTATTTTAGGCCAAGATATTTGGTCTGAAATAACCTCAAGCCAGAGGGCCTAGATTCCAGTACAGCCTGTCCCTTTCATCCCCAGCCTTTTAGCTCATAGCATGGTAGAGTAGAAAAAGGCTTTAGCATTGAACACAGCTGAGTTTTACTCCTGATGCTAGCACTTAACTTGGAGGAGTATCAGGGTTTTTTGTAAAATACGAATAATACCACATCCGAGAAGGTGGTGGAAAATTAAGAAGAATGTCCAATTGCCTGGCACCTCTCCTTCCTCTCTCCCATTCCTGCTTTTTCCAATCTACTGCTGCCTACAGCCCAAAAGGACCTAAACTGAAGGCTACTGCTATGTTCATTACTTGGGGCACTTAGCCAACACGTGAATGCAGAGGCCTTTTGTACAACATTGAAGCTGCCTGGGCAAATGGTGACCATCTTCACCCTATCCACCAGTAGGACAGCACAGTTCATTTGCAGAAATGGCAAACTTCTGCCAAGAGACACCAAGACCCTTCTTAAAAAGGAAGTAATTAAGATGCTAACAACTGACTAGTCAAAGTACACAACAAGGAGGTCTTTCCTTAATGTTGGCTGAATGAGGCAAAGATTCCACCAAACAGCCTCAGCTAGGAAGGAATGCAGTGATTTCTGCCAGGACATCAGTTATACAAATATCTCCTAGACTTAAGAAAAACCTCTTGACTACAATGCAAATATATCTTAATTTGCCTCCTTAAAGATAAAACTCAGTCCTTGTCTATACACAGTTGTTACAAACTCAGAGCATCTCAAGGCTCAACCTGTGTTCCCCACTTAGCTCACCTCTTACTAACAGCCAAGTGCACATCTGCCCACCTTTCTGCAGACTCCTTAAGTCTTTGTAGACACTTGCAAACCAAAAGAGTGTGGTAAGAGGTACACCCTTTTATTCAACCCAATATCATCAATTTCGCCATCTACCCATATTTCCTCTTATCAAAAAGCAACTTCCCAACTGTGTCTAGTTAGATAAATGGACAGAGAGTTAGATGGATGGATACTAATAGGTATGTTTTCTCTAAAATCGACAGAAGGGAGGTCTCATATGCTAATGAGTGCAGATTTCCCCCCCCCAAAGTGTCGAAGCAAACTAGAAGAGACAAGCTACAGTAGTGCTATTCAGAAGCATCCCAGTCGACAACCTTCTAACCAGACTCCTTTCCTTTCTGTGCTTGGGAACTTGCTTTCTACCTACCAAATACTGGTAAGTCCTGAAGGTCAGATTCCAGGGGCAACTGTAATCAAAACCTTAATAATACTATTATTATTGTTAATGCACTGGTAGGACACTTGGAATTAACAGGTAGATATCCTAAGCTCAGCCCTTGTATATTTCTAAGCACCCTTAAATCTCCAAAAAACACAAATATTTACAAACCCTTGGTAGCATATTGGCTGGTGATTTAACTACCGGAGCAGTCACATGAGCAATTCCTTATGCTTGGATCTGCAGCAACCTCACCACTTTAGTTCTCACCAGGTCTTTGGTTTGTGTTTCTTATCTAAGCTCCAAATATTAGGAGTCCTCTCCCAAAACCTAGGAGCTGCCAAAACCTGTCAGCACTAAGGAACCAAGACCCTGAGCAGGCTTGCTACTTGTCAACCACCTGTCAGCACAGCCTTGCCCTCTCCCTCACATTCCTCCTTTCCCCTCAGCCAACCATGGTAAGAATAGTTAACATTTACTGAGTACTTACTATGGACCAGGTACTGTCCAAAACACTTTATGGGTGTTAGCTCATCTAATTCCCAAGCCCCATGGGAATGTGCTAGAGGGAAAGAAAATCTTTGGCCTGGATTCCCACATGGTTTCTCTTACCTATTTCTAGCTGTGCTATAAAGCTTACATAACCTAATTTGCATCATGGTACTATTTTTAAAAACCTCCAAAGATCACTGCTTTGAGCCTCAATGGAAGCTGTTAGCTCCTACCTAAAATGATAATGTGGGAAAGGATATCTATTCTTACAACTAACTCAACTTGAATTCTTGACTTAAAACAGTCTTTCTGGAAGAGGCTATTAGAAAAGAAAGGACTTATCCTATGTAAGAAGTACTAGCTCTGTGCGCCATAAATAAGTGCTAAAGAAAAACACATCAGTACTGAAACTCACCTCAGCAGTGGTTTCTTGGCTTTGTTGTTATTCATTTACACCCATCTCCTTTGCAGGCCTCCTAGTAACACTATGCAATCTATGGTCACTGGACAGCATGGCATCAGATTGTTATAGAGTCTAAATACCATAGAACTTTTCTCATTCTGGATTATTTTAGAGATACCCTCCACTCTCTCTCAGGAGGCGCTGGAGTAAGATGAATGGGAATTATGGGAAGACCATTTACAGAGCAGGTTGTTTTCAGCTTTAACTACTCTTAATGTCCTGGTTTTTAAGGGTCTGGAATGCTAGAAATCTAATTGCTTGGGGGAGGGGAGGGTTTTAAGGGGGACTTAGTTCTTTCCCTTAACTCACTATTGAAGACTTTTCTCCACTACAGTTATTAATGAACACTAACAGGGAAATTATAGTGAATGACTGATTAAAGGGTAGACCTCCCATCATTTGTCATCAAAAAATGTGATCAGTGTTGAAATTAACCATTTTATTCTGTTATGCTATAAAAATACTTCACACAGACTGGAGAATTTGTTATTCATTTCACTTACTTGGACAGAGGTCCACAAACATAAACCAGGATAGGTTTCAGGCTCTCAAAACTGTCAGGGAAATATTTTAAATGAGTGAATTTCCAAGTGATTCCTATTTTGGTGATGTCAGAGAGCCTACCTTATTAAACAGTTTATAATTAAACTATTAACTAAGTCAACATTATTTTTGCTGTAGCTAATGCACTGTCTCCCAAAGCAGGGCTTATTCTAGGACCAGTGCTACCAACAAGATTATTGGACTCAAAATGCTTCCATTGGTCAGAGCCTCTATTCACTGGTACCCAGAAAAAGACCTGGCACCTAATAGGCACTGGGCTGTTTGAGCAGGGCCGGACTGCACTTGATACTAGTCAGCTATTCCTCGTACAACCTTTGATAGATGCCAAAACCACATTAAATGTACATACAGATTCTGTACGGGAAAAAAAAGTCCCAGCAACCTTAAAGTTAGCGATCAAAAGAAAATGCTACTTAGAAACAAATATAAAACATGAAATTCATTTTAATCTCTATATATCAAATACAGCCTTAGCACAGAATATCTAACACATAATGAAATGCATTTATGGGACATACTAAATGAAGCAAATCCTTATTAAAATAGTTGGCCTAACCCTCACATCTTTTAAATGAACTCCATGATGGTTGAGTAAGATGGGAAATCATCAATCTAGCTACCCAACCTGGAAGAGCAGGTGAATTGCCTTAAGTCTATTTGGTCTCTGCAGACTCAATATTCACCATTCTGAGTCTTGCTAAAGTTGGTTCTGTAAATAATTAGCTTAACTCAGTCAATTATATATTTTTTCATAGTTACCTTAATATTTTGGTTTTTTTTCATTTTCTATTGCTTTTTTTTATGGCTTCTTGCTGTTGTTGTATTGGGGCATACAACATAGATCAGAGATTTTCATTTCTCAGAGAAGTTTCTCTCCTTGAGAAATTGGCACTTTGATCCTCAGCCTGTGTAACAGAACTACATATATGGATCCTACCAGCACTGCTATCAATCTTGCTGCTTATGAAATTCCACTGCTTTGGCCAAAAGAGTGCCCTGTCATTGAAATCTTCTTAGGCGAACTGTTCCTACCACTGAATTCTGATATTTAAACAGGTACATGTGTGTAATTTACATACATGTTATATCCTAAGTTTCTACGCACATACACACAACTCAGTGAAAGTGAAATGTCTCTCGCGAGTAAAAAGCAGTTACAAGGGTATTAAAACAAATGCTGAAAAATAACTATTTTACATTTCCATCATAAAATTTTTAAAGGTAATGTGATGGCATAAGACCTAAGAGATCAAATACATCATATATGATTGTCATATATGCATGTTGTGTTAATTATTTTTCTCTTTAATCAGAAAATAAAAGAGCTTACCTTTGTATACTGAGATCACAGCTTACAGTCACTATATCTCAGCCTATTTTATACAAGTGATATGGCTACGAAGGTCCGAGGAGAACGAGAATAAAGTGAGATAAACGTGCTGAAAACTGCTTAAAAGTATTAACCTGAAATACACAGAGGGTCCAACACCAGTTTTAAAAATACATTAACGAGGTATTCCCAGCTCTTCAATTAATAATGGTGACTGATTCATGGTTTTCAAACATTCATCCATATTTTTTATAAAGAAAAGGCTAATACCAGCAAAATCTATCAGTGGTTTGTTCCCCAGACTAAAAATTTGAGAGAGACTACCAATGACTTCAGGACCCATATAAACCCAACTCCTTGCTTCACTGTCCCATGTACTTCATCTAGTCAGCATGAGGTATGTTGGAAGTCTACTGAACCAATTATCTCGCACAAGATATAGGGTGCTTCTGCAGCCTGAGGAAACACAAGCTGCAAGTCACATCCCCGGCTAGGTGCCAATCCCCACACAGAGGACATGGCTCCAAAGGAGGACCCCTAGCTCTGAGAAATTATAATAGCGCTGACGCAGTCAGAAATTTTACTCTTCAATTTATGTGCTAAAAAAGTTTTAAAACTGTCAGAAGATAGCACAGCTCACACACTAATTCTAAGTTCTATGAATCTGTAAACTCCCTGACAGGAAACTACACTAAGAGGGGTTAAGTACAGATATTGCTTAGGTTTCCAAAGGAAAAGTTTTAAAACAGACACCGTGGCTTTGAAAAAAGTATTGCTCTTCTTTAAAATGATTGGTCATTGCTTTCAAAAAGAAGGTGTCAGGATGGTGTATCTGAAAGCTGGATAGCCTCAGGGTGTCACTTTGCTCTTAAGACCAAGACAGAAATTGCCATTTCAAGCCAGACAACCTGATGGTTCTAGAAGTCAGAGAAGAAATCTTGAGGGCCCAAGTGAATAATAAATGGTGCGACGCTCAGAGGCTGGCAATAGGGGCTGTCAATGAAAAAACCACCTACAGTGGAGAAAAGAGCAGAGAAGCAAAACTTCATGTTAATTTCACACAATTTGGTGAAGCCAAGAGCTTCATTTATATTTCTCTGCTCTTTCAGCTGTAAGTGGAATTTTCATTACAAAATGGAAAGGTGGGAAGGGCAACAGGTGGGGGGACACTTAATTCATTACAGAATTTAAACAGTTGAACTTGCATGGTTACCACTTCTAACAAAGGACTGACAGCTCGATTATTTTAAGTAAAGCAGAGAAATGTAAAAGTTTGCAGCAACTGGGCGGGTTTACAACATGGTTAGTAACTTCCAACAAACAACAAAATTAAAAAAAAAAAAAGACTTGGTAGAAACCATTTGAAATGACTGCCATCATGTTGGAAAACAGCACAGCTCCCTTTTCACCATTATAGAGGGGTTGAGTTATGAAGCAGAGTCAGCTACTTCAAAAGAAATTTCTAAAGAGAAATCTCCAGAGAGATTCCAACTCGGAATCCAAATTTGATGACCAATTTCAAATAACAATACAGCTGCAGCTGCCAATTAATAGTATTCCAAAAACAATGAAGACTATTGTAAATATTCAATTAATAAAAACTGGACACTATCAGCCATGCTTTTTCTTCTCAGTGATGGCTCTGTTTCATCCATAGGTCAGCAAAACAAATCAATGAAACATGAAAACTCCCAGCTGAAATGGGCCCTCTTGTTTATGTCTAGCCACTAATGCACAGGATGAGAATGATAAGTTACAGCTATTTCCAGCAAGAGATGAGGTTTTATTAAAGTATCACCCACCACTAATAAAGACAAAAGGTCAAGGAGAAGAAACAAATTAATCACTGTGTAACACACATCTGAGAAATGACACTAATATTTGTTTTACATCACCTATTTCACCTGCATTTAGTGGTCCCAAAGAAATTTGGTATAAATTTGCCATATTTGGTGAAGCCCATTCTCCCTGATGGGCACTGTCCAGTTCTGAAGAGCAGAATTGAATAGGGAAAGGAAAGCTAATTCATACTAAAAACAGACATTTTAAGACATAGCAACCTGTAAATATAAATAAGGGACCACGCTGCTGCCTTCATGGGGGTGAGTACCTTAATGAAACCATTTACCTTCTAGTAACATCATTGGCTTTCCAAACAAGGTGAGAATGCAAGTGGAGGACTTAGGTCTGCATCCTTTACAAAACAGCACAATGTTACCAACTGATCAATATCCACCAGCGTAATCAGGTGTCTCAAAAATAAATGCTGACCCATGGCTGAAACCTGTCACTTTTCACAGCAGCACTCAACAAGAACTGGGACAATTGAAGAGCAAGTTTTTATGGGGACCCTGTTGCTGCTTTAGATTCTGATGTAATTGAAGAGGAAAGAAGACCCTTCAATGAATCCCAGCAAAATTGCTAATCTTCTATCTGCATGAAAAAAGCCAGGGAGTGAACACAGTATCTTACAGAGTGAAGAAGGCCACAAGAACAAGAGAGGGTGATTGATTGATTAATTTATTATTTTTTAAAACTTGGAAATTCGAAAACTAAAATAATCACATTCCTCCTTCCCCATCTCTGGGTAGTGCCATCATTTTAATAAGCAATGCTCAGATAACAGAATATAACCCTTTATCATGGGGTGCCCTTGTACAACAGTACAAAAGGCTCACAAAGTAAGTAGACTGGCTCAAACTAACAATTGCCTTTGCTTTGTTTTAGCAGTTTGCTTACAAATGAATGGGCTTCAAGGGCTAAGTTATTATTAGTTCTCAATTCCTTGTAATTTGATACCAAAACATATCAAAAATAATAAGCTAAAACAATATTTGAACCCATATTTTATTGGCTTTAATTACACGCTTCAATATTTACAAAGTTAAAGTTTAAATGAAAAGTCTCTATTGTATTAAAAAAAATAACTACAGCCCAAATTAAAGTGCCCTGGGGCAAATACATATCAATCAGCTAAGAATCAGTGACTGCATCAGGAACCAGGCAGTACTCTGTGTTACAACAAAGCAGTTTATTTGTGTTCAGTGTTTGAGACTCTATATATCCTTCACAAATTTAATTTTACATAATCTAATACTTCTCTGAAAACTTAAACTTTGAACTGCTAGACTTACTTCCCTAGAACAGAAGGGCTGGTATACGTTATTTTCCAGAAATGAGGTACCGTTTCACAGAACTGGTTTCTTTTTTTGTTTGTTTTCAAGTTTTAGAGAACTAAATTTGCATTTGTTAAAATCAAAAAGTAAGAAAGATGTTCTTTACAAATAATTTTGATCAAGTATGTGTTCAAAGAAAGCAGGATAAAAAGGCTTTTTCTCTAACATTCTGTATTGTACTGTATTGTTGTTCAATAAGAATTAGCTTCTGTCATTTGCTAAAAGAATGAGTAGTGGGGAACAGGATAGGTTGGGAATTTCATAACGGGTAACAGAACCATTCTCTTGGGTAAACCTACAGAGAAAAGAAACGGAGAGGACTCCAAATAAGTTTAATATTCCAATAAGAATTTCAGGTAAAAAAAAATCGTACAGTAGTTATCATTAACCTTTTCCAGATTAGTCAGTCAACATGTACCATTTTGGAAGAGGCCCACAAATCTCTCACAGATCTATTTTGAAAGTGATCTTAATATTTTGATAAATAATATTTTCCAATCAAAATTAAGATGGCTACATCATAGAAAGTAATTTCATTTGAGTGAGCTGCCACAAATTCTGTAGACCAAAAGCAATGCTATCGACTAATATTCTAAATTGACTCCAGAAATCCATATTGGTTATCAATTTGGCACATCGTATATTACAGGAGAAACAGGTTGTCAAGATTCAAAGCTTTCTGCGCAGACCTCAGCTTCCCAGAAAGACAGCTCCAACTGGAGCCATGACAGGTGCTTGTTTATCTCCTTAATGGCTACTGCTAATATTGGCATGGCAAATCTGGAAAGATTAATTACTTTCTTAATTTGTAATTATTACGTTCTTGTGGCCTCGCAAACTTCTGCATACTCAAGTATGATTTGAAATGTGCTCCTATTTCTATTCTAATATTTAACCTATGGAGAAATCACAAAGCAGCAACAGCAGGTATTCAAGAGCACCAGATGATCAGAGGGAAATTACCCCACATGCAACAGCTTTACAAAGGCCAGAAGACATATTTACCTTACAGCCAAAATAAAGCATCGTTTTAGTAGGTTTGCATCACAGTAACATTTAAAAACCAAATCTTTTATGTGAAAAATGGGGGCATTAAATTTCACCAGCTTTGGAAGTCAGTTATATGGCACATGGAAGAGAGGAGCCTTCTGAAGTAGGGCTCAGAGATCGCAAGGTGAAAGTATAATGTTAAAGGAGGAAGGGGAGGAACAAGAGAGAAAAATTAAAAGGACCGAGGAAAAACATGAATATAACTTAGAGTCTAGATATAAAATTGTTTTCAAGGGAAAAAATAAGCTTTAGGAAATCTTTACTGAAAAATCTGACACTTACTATATGTTTTAAAGAAAGACCCAGAGTTAAAAATCTGCCCTGGGAGGCAGATGCATTGGTATTTACATAAGACATACACAGTATAGTGAGTCTAGTGAGTCAAAATGTATTTGAATATTTGGATAAATTGACCAAACCTAATTGATAAGAAGGATGAGGTGGTCAGGATATCCAGAAAGTATCTGAATGGTAAAAGCAAATGGCCAAGCCAAAAGGAGCAAGAAAGTTTGAATTCGAAAGGAAATGTGGGTGAAAGCATATTCTAGGACTAGTCCCTAAATCCTAACTACCCCACATCACTCTAGCTCAAAATATGGGGAAGTCTTGACCACACCTGAGTATGCCAGAGGAAGTAAATGATGTAACTCCTGGCTCTGCTCTTTGTCTTAGAGAAAACGTGCTCCAAATGTCTGACCCTTGCAACTTCACATTCTTCTAGGATAAACTGTCTATCTTAATGGGCAACGTGGTAAAACTATTCACTTTCTACTTATTTCTCCAATTACAAAATCAGATGAAGCTTCGGTTTAGCAATGTCTTACGGAACCATAGTTTGTATCCAAACAAAAATGGCAAAGTTGAAGCATGAAGAGAAAATGCACAATGCAAAGGTGTGAGGTTCATGTGGCAGACTAATGCCAAAAGTGGCAATACAGGAAGGGTCTTTCTTTCCCTTCTGTGTGCATGCACCCCCAGTCTGGGGCATGCTCACACACATACAATCATATTCATTCTCATTCTCTTCTCATTTTTTCTTTCTCTCTTTCTCTCTCTCTCTCTCTCTCTCTCTCTCTCTCTCTCTCTCTCTCTCTCTCTCTCTCTCTCTCTCTCTCTCTCTCTCTCTCTCTCTCTCATTCTCTCCTCTCAATGACAACATCCTACAGATGGCTGAGTCTATAATATGTAACACCTGAGTTAGGAAAAATGTCTAAAAGCATATCACTGACTCCAAACCTATTGCCTCCATTGCCACATAAACCTCATTCAAAAGTTATCCAAAGGGCCACTGGGGTTTATTTATGCATTTGCTTTTATTTTTTTATTTTGGGGGGAAAAGAGAAATACCTATGATACTCTAACATGTAATACAGACATTCTGCATTAAGTACTTAAGTAGACTGCTGGTGAAATCCACTATTCCCTCCTATCTAGAACCAATCACACCCATTTACTTCATCCCCAAAGCAAAATTATGGAAAAGGATGTTGGCTATGAATTTGACGTGAGCAGTTCCTATTCTTGACTCAAATTACCCACAGTTCACACAGTCTAAACCAGAAACTTAAACATAGCTATATTTAACTGATAGATAGAAACTGGGTATGGCCCTTCAGTAGCCTTTGAATGGAGTATAAGTTGGCTGTAAGAAGAACTATTTAAAATATTTAATTTCAATATGGTCAGAAACAGGCAATTAGAACAAGCAGTCCTTCAATCAGGCAAAGCAGAGAGAAGAGCAACTCCAACCAAACCAAGAACCACAAGGTTGTGGCATTTTCAAAGGGAATTTAAGTTGGGTCACTAGAATGCATAGGTCTGTGATCCTCTGATTCATTTACAAAAACCCTAGATACAAACTGTGCTTTGGATTGCTGTGACAGAGTTGCTAAGAGGAGATATCAGTAAGATGTTGTACATACCATAGGCAGGGGCAGCTGTGCTGTAACCATATGGTGTTCCATAGCCTAGTGCAAAAAAGAAGCAAGCAAATCAGTACAGAAACCAGGGCAATCATCACCGGCCCAATTCACAAGCACCACATGGCCTAGTACCCCGACCCTGAGGACTTCTTCCATATGTTGGATGAACAAAAACCACTGCCACAGTGATCCCAATTTAGCCATTTTCTCTGTACCTGCTTAAGACGTAGCAGTGCCTTACCATGGCCTACAAGGCTCTCCTTGGTCTTCAGAACATCCTATGTCTCCTTTCACTGCATTTACTACACTGTATTGTAATATCTACTCCTTGTCTGTGTTCTCCACTAGAGTTGCACAGACCAGGTCAATCTTATTCATTTCTGCATCACCTGAACCTAGCACAATGTATGACATATAGTAACCTCACTAAATATAACTTGTTGAAGAAAAAAATACTTAGAAGCACTCAAACTACCAATTTTTCAAAGTTGGAAAAAGAATTTTCCAAGTCTCTTTTCAGGAAATAGTGACAGAGCAGGCTGGGCCTCATTTGTCATTAAAGAGGGCACATGGGTCAGACTGTGAGTCCAAGAGCAAGGTCTAGGACTTGCTGATAACATTTGAATTTCTGGTGCCAGCACAGGCTCTCCCAATAAATGCTGCATATCAGCATCCAGTACCTATGAAAAAGGCTATTATTAAGTAAAAACTAGTACAAATAACAGAGTTTGTTAACCAATAAGCTCTGATACTAATTTCTTATATAACCTTACTTAGAAAATTAATTTCTAAGTTGCCACTTTCACATTTGTTAAATGGAAAACCATCAAGCTACTTTATGTTGCTGCAGGGATTATAAATACTATATTAACAGAAGATGCATTGGTACCAACTAAACACTAAAAGAAAGAAAGAAGAAAGGAAATAAAAGTTGTAATCTTAACTCTTTCAGTAAAACAATCTAAAAATATGTAAATACAAAATTCACTCGGATAAATCTCTAGAAAAAAACTGATTTCTTAAATATAACAAGGGCATTAAATCAACATGGGACCTTTACACTGTAAGCTTTTTTCATATTACAACTCCTTTTTCTACCATTTCTGCTGCTCAGAATGAATTTGTTACCTTCTCTGGATGACCAACTACAACTCATCCTTGAGATCAGTATCAAATATCACTTCCTTTTTGAAGTCTCCAGGTCTTGCTATTCACTCCTTTGCCCATTCCATGTTCCAGCTGGTATCATACTGCATTGTGTTTATTCAAGTATCTGTTCCTACCCCATTTGACCCTAAGCACTCACTAGGGCAGAGGCTAGGTCTTAGTCTAAATCTCCTGTTTGAGACAAACCATTCAAATGTATGTTGAAGACATAAATTGTTTTTAAGGACTAATCAAAATATTTCCTGAGGGATGAAAAATGTTTGTTTTTTAGTCTGTAGTTAAGTCATACAAAACTAGTGGTGGTACAACTCAACCTTTATGTTCATGAAATGATATATTTCAAGAGAACACAATACAGCTGACATAAGCAGTAGGAACAGGAGTTGGACCAGAGACCAAAAGAGAAATTAATGCTTAAAAAAGAAGGCTGTATATCAAATCTATTCCAGGAAGAAACAGTAGCTGTTTTTGGCTAAGGCTATAGTTTCAGGGGTCTTACAAAAACTTCCTCAAAGATGGATGAGACTACAACTACTGAGCAGGTCACTCATCAGGCCATTGGGGTCTAATTCTGACTTCAGCTTTTGCTGGCAAGGTATCTTCATATCATACCTGCTATTTAAACTCATTGAGTCTCAATATCATAGTAACTGAGTTGGCAGGGGAATTGAATAAAAATGTAGATATACCAACAACAGTCCCTGCTGCACAGAATATACTCTACGAATGGCATATAATCTATTCATAATCCAAAATGACCTAATCTGAATCTTCTCTAGGCCATAAAAGAATTTAATTTTTAAAAGCTTCAGGGAACAGGCCTTTCAGAGAGGTCAATGCAATGACATAAGACACAAGTCACTACAGAGCAAAAAAGCCTGGAAGCCAGCAGAAATAAATTGTTCCTCTCATGATTACTGCTCACCACTCTAGCAGGAGGAGGTAAACGGCCCACAACAAGAGATGTGACCAGATTAAGCTCCAATGGAACACATCATCAAAGACAAGAAAGGCTCATCTCAATAACGTCCCCACATTGAATAAAGTTAAAAATAGTACATTCACAGGGCGGAGTGGCTCATGCCTATAATCCCAGCACTTTGGGAGGCAGTGCCTGAGTCCAAGGGTTCAAGACTAGCCTGGGCAACTTGGCGAGACCTCGGTTCTACAATAAGTCAAAAATTTAGCTGGGTGTGGTGGCGCATGCCTGTGGTTCCAGTTACTTGGAAGGCTGAGGTAGAAGGATTGCCTGAGCCTAGCAGGTCAAGGCTGCAGTGGCTGTGAGCATGCCACCGCACTCCAGTCTGGGCAACAGAGGGAGACTCCGACTCAAAAAAAAGAAAGTAGAAATAGTGAGATACACAAAAGAATATCTTAATTTTGAACACATGAACTGTATCAAACTATAAGAACCTCATGACCTTTTCCTTTGTCCCCCAATGCTCATCTTTTCATGTTCTCTATCTCATTAAATGGCACAATCATCCCACTCAGTTACTCTAGCTAAAAATCCTAGGAGATGAGATATCCTTGAAATCTGTCTTCTTCATTCTATATATTAAATCTATCAATTCTGCTTCCTCAATATTCCTCCTTCTTGCCTATCGTCCACTTCCCTGCCTCCAATGGTAATGTTTCCATTGTGTCCTGCCTCGGGGTAATAGTCTGCAATAGCCCTCATTTTTTAACTGATGTATAATAGATGTACAAAGTTTCAGAGTACATGTGATAATAAATTCATGTAATTTGTAAAAATTAAATCAACGTACTTGGGATATCCATCACCTTAAATATTTGTCTTTTATTTGTGCTAGAACCATTCAAATTCTTCTCTTCTGGCTATTTTCAAGTGTATAAATAGATTACTGTAAACCATATACAATAGCCTTCTAACTGGTCTTGTCATTTCCACTTAGTGCACTGTGTCTGGGGAAGAGACTGGGGAGTGATGTGAGTTAAAGCTGGATGGCTCAGTTCCAGTCCCGGAGGCCATAGTTTGGATTTTGGTCTTAGAATCCTAAGTACATTGAAAGGGCTCTAAGGACAAGGTCAGACTTTGTGAAAATTACTTTTTTCTATAGTGTAAATAAAAGGTTGTAGGGTTAGGAATGGGCATGACAAGACCAGTTAGAAGACTATGGCATATAGTTTACAATAATCTATTTATAAACACCCCAGACATTTTGGACTTCTGCTTCTTCAAATGAGCCAAAGTTCCACCACCAGCATCACAGGGTCCCTACACATGCTGTTCCCTCTATGTGTACAACACTTCCATTCCTGTCTTCAGAGTTCTCATGCTTCAAAGCTCAATTCAAATGTCACTTCTTCAGAAAAGCCTCTAGGGACCCACCAGATTATATCAGGTTGCTCTGTTATGAGCTTTTCACAGCGCTATGTTCTTCTTCATCGCACTCATCTCAATTTATATTACTTGATTATAATCTATGTCTCACCTTTTAGATGGTAAGCTGCATGACAGCACAATCCATGTCTGAGCAATGTACCTACTATGATCAGCTTCTAGAAGAATAATTCCAAATCTATAACATTCATAAAATTTCCCAAATGGCCTATTTTAATTCTTCCTTAAAGGAAAGCACAAGCAAAATGAACCCTTGGGATGTTACCTTAAAAATAACAACTGGATAAGACCCAATCTTTATAATTTCATCTTGATCAGTAACTATAAGTGGTCTACTTGTGTAGTTAAAAGTACCATACTTTCAATATTGCAAAGAACTTGATTTTAATGAGACAGCTGCACATCTACTGCAAAAATGACATAATGATTAGAACAGAAGGCAGAGAGAGGGCAAACTCCCCAATCTCCCTTAAGCCATGTGGTGGAATGGAAAGAATATAAACTTTGGAAAAGCAAACACCTAGGTTCAAACCTTTGTTCTGCTGTTTAATAGTGATTTCACCCTGGGCTAGGTGCCTTACCTCTCAAAAACTGTTTTTTTACATGGAAAATAATTTCTACCTGAGGAAACACTGTGGAGATTAAAAACAAGTAAAATCATTTATATTAAAATATCTGATGTATAGATAAGTAAGTTTCTCTTTTCCCCCTTTTGGTACTTTTTTAGCCTTTGATGGGTCCCAAACATTGAGTTTAACAAACACCAATAATGCCAGGCTTCAGCCTAATTAAGTAACCTCTTATCAGCAGTCTTCCTCTCCTGTTATACCCAACCTGTCCTCTGTCTCCCCGCTCAGATGTCGAAAATTCTGGATCTATGGAATAACTTTTTCTCTATTTTTGAATTTCTGTGGACACTTACCTTATACCCATGTTGTATTTCCAGAGACCCTATATAACCTTGAAAAATTAAAGAGATGCTGTTCTTTGAATTTTAACCCAGAAAAAGGGCACTGCAATCTCTTGGAGGCTATACTATACCTGGAGCTATGTAGCCAGGAGCAGCTGTCGCCCCAACAAAAGCTCCCCTTGTTAGAGTTCCTCTTCCTCTGCCTCGAACAGCTTGGACTGCTGCGGACACAGCTGTATTTACAACACCCTTTGCCTGTTAAAAATAACATTTTATTACTGAGAGAAATAAGATCTATCATCCTACCATCTCTTTAATGTACAACCACTATGAGAAACTATGAGCATGTAAGACAATGAGTTGTCTGTGACTGTGAACCTTCAATTTATCATCTGTAAAATGAAAATGAAACTTATCTTATAGAGTGGTTTAAGAGAACATGCAAATAACTACTTTTCACTTGGTTTTCATCCAAAAGGGTTCATTTTCTACACCAAATTTCAATTACATCCAAAGTCATTTTAGGGCAGACTAAAGTAATTGTAGATACCTCATACCTAGGTCTCAAATCCACTGAATTCTCTGCCCAGAGCAGAAAATGGCCCAGCAACTAACTACCTAGAATTAGCTGTGAATCTGAAGAGTTAAGGGGGGAAAAAAAAAGACTAAGACAGGAAGACCAAAGATAAAGATGAGGATGCCAAATAAACATGAAATTTCTTTGAGCCTGTTTTCTCTGCTGTGTGTGTACATCAATTATTAAGTAAATAAATACCACTTTGAAAGCCCCTTCTTGCTCTAAAATGCCACGGGACACTAGTGAAGTCACATAATTTCTCTTATGGCATAATTTCTCTCTAAGTCACATAATTTCTCGCTCCACTAATTGTAAAATGAAAATAATAATATCCACTTTGTTTTCCTTACTTTAGTAGAAGAAAGAGCAACTGAGAGGAGAGATATTAAAACATTCTGAAAAGCAGAACAGATAAATCCAGGAGTAAGGACCCTTTCCCAAACCGAAATTTTAAGAAAATCAAAAGAAATCTAGTTTTAAATATTATACTTATTTTTTAATATTAAAATGCAACAAAAGCTCATGTTAAAAACTATTAAGATTCCCTACTATAACCAAAGTGCAAGGAAAGTGGTGCAGAGTCTCAAAGTGCAACAGTGTCTCAGAAGGTGAAAGAGTCAGAATATACACACATTCATGTTACAATAACAAATCACTATCCTTTATCTCTCCTAGGACAGCCTCTACATCTAGTATGACTGGGCAGAATACAGTGTCAAGGTCAAATGTATCATGCACAGAGACAGACATTTTTCTTTTTGCCTTAAATATACCAACCCACACATCTAAAATAGACTGGTTCTTGGCTGTCAAGCACACTGAACACATGAGCTTTACAGCTTCTGGTATGGAAATTTTCTAAAAATGAGTGAACTTCATGTAGACATCTTTCTTTTCTTAGCATGACTTAGTCAAAAGTAGGAAGCAACAATCTGTAATGCCACACAAATCTAGCTCATGTCTACTAGAGACAAACTTATCTACCTATTAAATATTTCAGGTAGGCTTTTCAAACACCAAAATTAACTGACCAAATACAAGATGTAATGCGGGGGGAAAAGACAGACAAAATAAGGTAGTAATTATACTTCTATTAATTTAAAACATATTATGTCCTATATTTACTAGATTTTAGAGAAGTCTACTTATTTTCATCATGTATAATTTAAAGGCTTTTTAAAAATTTCATTTCAGTAAATTTATTTTCCCTATTTATCTTTTGAATCCTAGACTTTAAGCAGTGTTTATTCTAGTAAATATAAGAAGCTTAATTGAACACACAAAAAAATTTTGAGACTGATGTAATGTACAATGGTGAAATGTCCATGGCCTTTGGAAGGAGAACCTTGTTTTAAAAGGAACACCTACTGTCAATTAGCTCTGTTACCACAGGTAAGTATTTCAATTTCTTTGGCCTCATTTCTTTACCTGTAAAATGAGATCAATTCTACCCTCCTACAATGGACTTAGAATATGGACTTAGAATATATAAAAGAATCTAAATATAATGTTTAACATATACTCTTAAATAATCTAAGCATTTTTAACTTATTTGTTTCTCTCACATATATTCAGACATTATCACACCAGTACTCTTCATCGAACAGAGAATGTATCTTATTATCATCTTATCTTATCTTATCAGACATTATCACACCAGTACTCTTCATCGAACAGAGAATGTATCTTTACTTACGAGGGGAGATCTCTCCCCAAAAATAAAATTATCTTTTGGAGGGCGGGCCCCTTGTATTACAAGCTTCCCCCACCAGGTTAGTGGTCTAGGAACCCATCGGCACCAGCATACCAGCTAGCATAGTTATGAGAAGCTGCATTTCGCTTCAGTAAATTTTTATTTTATTTTTTTGGAGAGTCTTTCAATATGTTTGCCCATTTCTTGATGGGTGTTTTACAAAGCACCTGCCCACACCACGCTGAGTGTTCAGCAGTTTTTAACCAAAAACAGCATGATCCCTGTGCCCTACCCTCCCTATTCACCTGATTTCACCCCAAGAGGCTTTATCTTTTGTTCCCCTGTAAGAAAAAAGTCCTCAAAGGGAAATATTTTGCTGATGTGGAAAAGGTGAAACAAAAAATGGCAGAAGCACTAAAAGGCATCAAAATTGACGAGCTCAAAAACTGTTTTAAGAAGTGGAAAAAGCATCTCAATAGGTATACTGCGTCAAAGGAAGAGTTCTTGAGTACTCTGAAGGTGACTCAATGTTTAAACATGTAAGAATGAATGTTAAATATTTTAAAAAATAATTCTGTGTTTTCTGGATTCCCCCTTGTATTTCTTTTTGCCTCACAATCATACATACGGTATATGTCTAGAAAATATTTTTGGAAAGCGTAAATGAACGAATGGAAGAAAATCTCATCCATAAGCATGTAATTAGGAGGCCATCTTTTCTAAATACCTTGCTAAGATCCTGGGCCCTTCAGTACAATAGTACTGACATTCCCAATGCCAGTAAAGAAGAGAAGCAACACCAAGCCAAGTTCTATGCAGTCCACAAAGAAAAAAAAAACAAAATAATGCAAAATGACAAAACTGGAAAAGAACTGGAAGAGCATGTGCAGACTGATGAAAATAAGCCACACATACTCTTGCCAGGTTCCCTAAACTAATTGCTTACACCTCTTAAAGTCCAAATCACTTCAACACTTTACCTCATCAGGAATGACCTCAACTCTCCAAATAATGCTAACATATTTTTTCTTTTTTGAATTGGAGTCTCACTCTGTCACCCAGGCTGGAGTGCAGTGGCACACTCACAGCCACTCCAGCATTGACCTGCTGGGTGTTGGCAACCCTTCCACCTCAGTCTTTCAAGTAGCTGAAACTACAGGCGCATGCTATCACTCCCAGTTAATTTGTTTGATTTATTTTTATTTTTATTTTTTATTTTTTATTTTTTTTGAGTTGGAGTCTCACTCTGTCACCCAGGCTGGAGTGCAGTGGCACACTCACAGCCACTCCAGCATTGACCTGCTGGGTGTTGGCAACCCTTCCACCTCAGTCTTTCAAGTAGCTGAAACTACAGGCGCATGCTATCACTCCCAGTTAATTTGTTTGATTTATTTTTATTTTTATTTTTTATTTTTTATTTTTTTTGAGTTGGAGTCTCACTCTGTCACCCAGGCTGGAGTGCAGTGGCACACTCACAGCCACTCCAGCATTGACCTGCTGGGTGTTGGCAACCCTTCCACCTCAGTCTTTCAAGTAGCTGAAACTACAGGCGCATGCTATCACTCCCAGTTAATTTGTTTGATTTATTTTTATTTTTATTTTTTATTTTTTATTTTTTTTGAGTTGGAGTCTCACTCTGTCACCCAGGCTGGAGTGCAGTGGCACACTCACAGCCACTCCAGCATTGACCTGCTGGGTGTTGGCAACCCTTCCACCTCAGTCTTTCAAGTAGCTGAAACTACAGGCGCATGCTATCACTCCCAGTTAATTTGTTTGATTTATTTTTATTTTTATTTTTTATTTTTTATTTTTTTTGAGTTGGAGTCTCACTCTGTCACCCAGGCTGGAGTGCAGTGGCACACTCACAGCCACTCCAGCATTGACCTGCTGGGTGTTGGCAACCCTTCCACCTCAGTCTTTCAAGTAGCTGAAACTACAGGCGCATGCTATCACTCCCAGTTAATTTGTTTGATTTATTTTTATTTTTATTTTTTATTTTTTATTTTTTTTGAGTTGGAGTCTCACTCTGTCACCCAGGCTGGAGTGCAGTGGCACACTCACAGCCACTCCAGCATTGACCTGCTGGGTGTTGGCAACCCTTCCACCTCAGTCTTTCAAGTAGCTGAAACTACAGGCGCATGCTATCACTCCCAGTTAATTTGTTTGATTTATTTTTATTTTTATTTTTTATTTTTTATTTTTTTTGAGTTGGAGTCTCACTCTGTCACCCAGGCTGGAGTGCAGTGGCACACTCACAGCCACTCCAGCATTGACCTGCTGGGTGTTGGCAACCCTTCCACCTCAGTCTTTCAAGTAGCTGAAACTACAGGCGCATGCTATCACTCCCAGTTAATTTGTTTGATTTATTTTTATTTTTATTTTTTATTTTTTATTTTTTTTGAGTTGGAGTCTCACTCTGTCACCCAGGCTGGAGTGCAGTGGCACACTCACAGCCACTCCAGCATTGACCTGCTGGGTGTTGGCAACCCTTCCACCTCAGTCTTTCAAGTAGCTGAAACTACAGGCGCATGCTATCACTCCCAGTTAATTTGTTTGATTTATTTTTATTTTTATTTTTTATTTTTTATTTTTTTTGAGTTGGAGTCTCACTCTGTCACCCAGACTGGAGTGCAGTGGCCGCTCCCGGCCACTGCAGCCTCAACCTGCTGGGCTCCGGCGATCCTTCCGCCGCAGCCTTCCAAGTAGCTGGAACTACAGGTGCACGCTACCACGCCCGGCTAATTTTTGATTTACTGTAGAGACCAGGTCTCGCCAAGTTGCCCAGGCTGGTCTCAAACCTGTGGGCTCAGGCAATCCACTCAACTCGGCCTCCGAAAGTGCTGGGATTACAGGCTGAGCCCGGCCCAATATATTATTATATATATTTAATTTGCTTAGAAAGACCACAGAACAGGAAAATGCTAATCAGATTTATATTATTCATGATCTAACACAAAGGTTGCCAAATCCAAGAAAAAAATAACAATTTCAGAAAAAGTTAAAGTGACACATGGACAGGAAAGCAAATTTAATTCCTGTAACATTTTTCAGAGGTTCAGCAAAAGTTTAATGCTTAACACATACCTGAGGGATAATCTTCTTTTTCTTGTTATTTGCTGCATTGGGTCCAGAAAACAGCTTCTCCAGGGCAGCTAAAGCTGCACTTGCCTTTGCCACTTTCTTATTTGGACCTGCGCCTCTGAATTTCTGTCCATCTACTTCTACCTAAAATCAAGAACAACACTTTGCAATTATCCCATGCAATTCCTCTATGTAGTTTTAATTTAAATGTATCATTAACACAGAAAACACCAAAAATCAAATAGTGTCAAGTATTGACTCAGTCTAAAACAATTTTACATGGAGGTTCAGGATATGCTATTGTCTTTGAGAGGAAAAATAAGGTTGGCTTATATCTAGGTACACACCTCCATTACAAAGCGCTTGTCATGACTTCCACCAGTTTCTGAGATTAATTCATACTTGAGACCTCTTCTTTTTTCATTGAGCTCCATTACAGGGTTTTTGCCACTTGCTGTGAGTATAGGGCCCTGAGTTCTTACCTATAAAAGAAAGAGAATCTGGAAGTTCAATCAAGTAAGATTTTAGAATATTAAATTTCTTATTAATACAATTATGCGAAAAAGGAGGCTCAAAAATTCTAATTTAAGGCATTTAGGGTCTAGGATAAGTCACCTCTGCACATAAGTGGCAAAATATCAATAAAGGTGTGGAAAACTCAACAAGCAGTAAACATTGCAGTTATCTGACTAGCCTGCCTTCAAAGCAGGGCTGTTCCAACAGACCAGTATTCAAGACCAATGTTGCCTTGCCATGCAAGGCACTCTAGGGTCTGATCTATGGTGTTCAGGATCTAAGAATAATATTCCCAATTACTAACAAAGAGAATAAAACAATTGGGATTCACATGATGCCTGAGGGTTCACCATTTTTCATCCTTAAGGTTACAAAGAGATAACTTTCAACTTGGTATGTAAGACAGAAACATTCCTATATACCTCTGTCTCTCTAAACAGATTTAAGGGCATCTAAGGTAAAGACAGTAGACTATGGATTCTGAATTTTTTACATAACAACAAAGGCAGTTGATCCCTGTACTCCAGGAGCTAGAATGTAGTGAGAGGGACAGACAGAGTCACTGCAAAACAATGTATGCTAAAGAACAAGTGTATGCTACGGAAGCACAACAGACAGAATCATTTTCTACAGCAATCAAGACAGTTTTCTTGGAAGTGACATGTGAGCTTGACTTAAAGGGCAAATACTAGACCATCGGCGGAGTCAAAAAGAAGGGCATTCTGAACAGAAGAAAGAGCAATGCAAAGGCACAAGAGAGAGAAAGAACATTTAGGGGATGGCAAGAAGTTCAGTTTATATAAGAAAAAGAAGAGAGAATACTAGTGTATCAGGACTTTGGGTCCTAATCACATAGAATTTTGTATGTCAAGCAAATAAGCTTTGACTCCACAATGGACAGCGGGGAACCATCAAAAGAGTTAAAAGGAAAATGACATGATTAGATTTGTGTTACAGAAAAACCACTCTAATGATAGTGGAAAAGTCTGACTTGAGAAAGGACGAGATTAGAAGTAAGGAAGAGAAGTAATTCATGTAAGAGTGTGAAGGCTCAAATGAGGTTTGCACAAAAACAAACAAACAAGCAAAAACTCCACAAAATACTATAAATCTGAGAAAAGAAAAACCACAAGACTGAACACTTTTTGAGGTCAGAGATCATGTCTTTAATTACACCACACTAACTGCTCAAGAAATGCTGAACAAAATTAATGCCCGAAAGTATTATAAAGCATATTAAACCTAATGAACATCAAGATTCTCTTAATAAAGTACTCTATGCTGATTTGATAAGTAGCTGATGCTGAAGTGAAACAATGGACAATTTTTGAAGACAAGTTTAATAAACATTCCGGGGTCTTTTGCAATGAACATCTTTTCTTGATGAGTTTTCATAATTTCATGGCAAATTTCCAGGCACCATCTTTAAAAGGTAATGAGTGATTTTTTTTTTCTGTTAAATGAAACCAAGTTCATTTTGCTTTTTAGGTAGTGTTCTCAAAGAACTATAGCTCAGTAAACAATGTAAATTAGTATGTCATCGCAAAAGCAAGAGTTGTTTTGTTTTATTTGTTATTAAGTTGTTAAAAAGATGCAGCCAGCTGGGCTCGGTGGCTCAGCCTGTAATCCCAAGCTTTGGGAGGCTGAGGTGAGTGGACTGACTGAGCCCGTGGTTTTGAGACCCGCCTGGGCAACTTGGCGAGACCTCATCTCTACAATAAATCAAAAAATCAGCTGGGCATGGTAGTGCATGCCTGTAATTCCAGCTACTCAGAAGGCTGAGGCGGAAGGATCGCCGGAGCCCAGCAGGTCGAGGCTGTGGTGGGCAGGAGTGGCCACTGCGCTCCAGTCTGGGTGATCGAGTGAAACTCCAACTCAAAAAAAAAAAAAGATGCAGCCTATTTTAATAGGATAAATATTTTTAATCATTTCACTTTGAGTTAATGAAGGTTCACAAATGAGCAACACTCCTCATTGAGGAAAACAAGCTGTTTTCAACAAGCAACAGCACACAGACACAAAAACAAAAAGAACTGTATAAAAATAACTGTGTTCCCATATTTTTAGAAGCTGCTTTATAATGGGATGATATGCACATGAGTGATTTTTGAACCTAGGTCTACAGTAATCACTTGCTGCTTTCCAAACCTGAAGCTGATTCTACAAAGAGTCAAGACAAAACTACTTCAATTCTAATCAGTTACTATTATTTTAAGTGAAGAAATGAAGAATAAGGGCTTTCTTCTCCTTCCCTTTCCCCTCATTACAACAATATACAGAAACAAAGTATAGATATAATCACTACCAAATTTTGTATGCACTCACATACTTTACTGTGACAGTTATTAGTGCAGCCCACACTGCTCTCTCCCTTCCTAATTCCCTTTGTACTTAATGGTCTGGACCTCATAATTAACGAGCCCTTTCTTCTTTGGGTATATATAATATTGCCAGCAAAACTACATCCTGTCCTGTGAATGCCACCTGTGAATAACTGGTCCTCTCAGCAGCCAACTGCCACATCTTCTGTAATCCACAGCATCACATCAAGAGCCAAGGGTGGCTTTTTCAGACTTCAGCGCCATCATTTACTCAAACATTTACTTTTACAACTCCAGGTCATTATCCCTCCTCTTCCTTCAGTTCATAATGGCTTCTCTTCCCCACATGGCAAAGCTCATCATCTACAACCTTGCTTACACTGTAACCCCTTGATTTAACATGATTGTATGAGTATGTGAGTATGGTCTCACAACCACCTACTCCTTTGAGATTTCACATTACTATATTTACTTGCCATCACATTGCTTATCACATTACATTACCACTCGTTATAAACATATCTTTTTGCCCTGAGCCTTTCTGCCCTGTGTTTAGAGCCCAAGAGCATCTCCAGGCCCTGGTCACAATTTCTGCAGCACCTGGTACCAAGCAGGTATTAAAAAGAGTTTATGAACTGAAAAAATTAGTTTATTAAGTCCTTAATAAATACTTATTTTTAGAAATTACAAAGCAAAAATAATTTTTTTTAAAAATGTAAGCTGTTCCTATTACTTTAAAGCCAATTTTCCTTACATAGAATGCAGTAAACATAGGGTCCATACATTCCCCCAATGTTTTGTATATATTCAGTACTTGGATTTCATCCCATTCTATTATCTATGGTGATATGCTCACAGGTCAGGACTTAATCAGAGTCTAAGGTACATAATGGGTCAGGCTATGCCTTCATTCAGGGCTAGACCAACTAAATGATTATCCACAGCGTAACACACATTTCAAATAATCCCACATTTTCTCCACTAAGTCTTTTAGATTTTTGCCCTTCAATTATTGTTGATACTCTTGGCAAATTATGATTGTGAAATATCAGAAGCAGGTTCCATGGTCAGCAATAGGGAAATGCTAGTTAAATTAGGATACACACATGTGTAGTGCAGTATACAATTCTGCTTACAGATATTTTTTAAGTGGGGGAAAAAAATCAAGAGGTAGAACTACAAAAAATGATTGCTTTCATAAAAATCGTCATAAAAAAAGCTGAATGGAAATAAACCAACATTTTATAATGTCTGCCTCTGAAATGTATAAGTTTGCATATGTTTTGACTTTATTTATATTTTTCCACATCTCTCAAATTTTCTACAATGCACATATATTACTTCTTTTCTAAGGGGGGGAAAAATATATATATCTATATGTATACCTCTAAGGTGCTGGAGGTTTCAGTTGTAGAATTTCCAGTATTATTGCTTGAGTTTGAAGACACCGCTTCATTTTTGCTTTCATTATCTGATTTTTCATCGGAACTCATACATTCAATATCTGCATCAAAGCCTGTTGGATATCCCATCGCTTGCAATACCTGTACAAATTACATTAAGACATGGTTTTTATTCAGACACCAGATACCACAGAGAATAGATGAAACATTAAGAACAAAAGTTTCAAATTCATAACATTTGGATCCATATAACACCTTGCAGAAAGAGTAAGATGGTACTAAATCTATAAGTCCTTGGTTAAATAATGTATACCTACCATGTTAGCACCCTGGAAAATGGGGAAAACTTCCTCAGGGTAACTAGGTTTAAGCCTGAGGCTACTCTTAGTTCATTTAATTTAGAGGTGAGAGATAAAGAAAATAAATAGCATAGCCAGTTTTAATCAATGGGATGAGGAGGAAAGTCAAACAGCACAATGTAAAGAGTATGCTGGACCGGAAAGGAAAAACACTTGAAGGTCTACTCCTATATTTGTCCTCTAACCCTCAATTTTCCAATCTACAAAACAGGAAGACTGTATTAGTTCACTTCTAAATTATTTGACTCAAACCATTAGGAAAGATTGGCCCAGAAAGGCAATTAAGAAATTGTTTTACCTTTGAACCAACTTACCTGTCAATTATAAAATATCTAAAGTTTTCTACTTATTGTCTTTGTTTTCAACTTAAAGCATAATCAAGACTTAAAAGATTCAGTCTCTAAGTTTATTCTCTATATCAAGTAAGCCAGAAACAATTTTAGTCTTGTATTTCCATCCCTCCCTTCAAGGCCTGATTACTTTATGGCTACCTCCAATGTTCAAACTTCTTATACTTCCATTCAATGTCAAGGATTTCTCATACTTTTTTGAAATAAAGTTTTCAGGTCAGGCTCTGTTGCAATCCCAGCACTGTGGGAGACCAAGGTGAGTGGACTGCCTGAGCCCATGGGTTCAAGACCAGCCCAGGCAAATTGGCGAGCCCTCGTCTCTACAATCAATAAAAAAAAAGAAAGAAAGAAATTAGCAGGGCATGGTAGCACGCGCCTGTAGTTCCGGCTACTTGGAAGGCTGAGGTGGAAGGATCACAGGAGCCCAGCAGGTCGACGCTGGAGTAGCTGTGAGCATGCCACCGCACTCCAGCCTGGGTGATAGAGAGAGACTCCAATTCAAAAAATAAAAATAAAAGAAATAAAGCTTTCAGAACAATGCATGTGTGTGCATGCATGAATGTGCACACGCTTACTAACATGCACACACACCTAATGTGTGACTTTCTTTTAACAACTCCTTCCAGGCTATATTGCTTTTAGATATTTACAAAAGAATATTTTCACAAGCTTTTTTATAAGCCTCTTTCAAAGTAGAAAGAGTAGTAACTCTCTTTGTCAGTTAATAATTAAAGGTTTATATCAGAGAATATAGGGAGGTTCCTAAAGATTCTTGTATTTGTTTCCATTTTTAATGGTTTTTAAGTTGCTGGGGTATAAAAGCAACATCATACTTCTTGATAACACCAACTGTACAATTGTGTTGGTGGCCGCATAAATGAGAAACCAGCCAGAATTTGCCAACATAAATAAAACAGTGTTACTCTAAACAAAAAAAGGGGGGGGGGCTTACGTAGAACTCTGTACCAAAAGAACTTGAAATTAACTCATCCAATTCATATAGAAAACTTGGCATTCTCATCATAAATAAATTGCTTGCATGCATTTGGGAGTAAAGCCAAGAACTCTTTTTTAACATCTTAAGTTCTAAAAGTACTCAGGTAGTACTTTACACTAAGTACACTAAAATCATTTGGTTATATTCTCATCAATATTTTATAAAGAAAACACCTTCTTCACTGAGTCCTGCAAATTTGCTTTCTTGAGAAATCTCATCTCAGAGAATAGCTATCATTCTGGAATTCACATTATCCAATGTAGGCTGCAAGTCAAAAGCCAAGTATCACAAATAAATCTGATTTGTTTATTCCAATAAAAACTGAAGACATACAGCTTTTTCAACTTAATACAATTACAATAGTCTAACGTAAATTATTGAACACTGCTTCTCTCCATCCTTTTCTCACATATCAGATTCACTTATCTACTTGTTATTATGGCAACATGCTGCAATACATTTACAAAGTTTATATACTGATGGATATCTCAAAGCATTCAATGTCAATCTGCAGTACAGCATAACAAAAAATTTTGAATTAAATCATTTTTCTATGAACACATATTCTAAGAGTATTTTCTAGCATATGCTAAGAAGTAAAAAAAGTAAAGAGTTCTCAGACCTCTGGAACTGACATGGACACTCTTCTTGACCAAACACTAGACAAGATCCTCTGAGCCACTTTTTCAGATAGGCCCCATCCTGGGTCTTGTCCCTAAGAGACCAGTTGTACCAAGAATCCTGCTAAATTGGCTTAGCCGGGCTTCCCCAACCTCAATATCTAATCACCTCTGATATCTGATCAAATTTTCTCATCTTCCACCACCCCGGTGGTATCTGGCCCACTTTCAGCAAGAATCCTGTTAGATCTATTTAGTCCGAAATCTCCATTCACCCTTTTAATTTTTCATTCACTTCCTATAACTTGACTACAAATCCCCACTTGTCAATGTTGAATTCAGAATTGAGCCCAGTTCTATACCGAGGTCTCTCTTTCCCTAATTCAACAGTCCTTGAGTAAAATCTTTTTTTACTGCTTTAACAACTAACTGTCCAACTCAGGTCTCTTTAACAGATCCAAAGCTTGTTTGGAATCAGTATTGAAGCCAAAAAACCATTATACCAAAAAAAGTGAATTTCAAGCGTCTGGCAAACAAATTCAAACCTAATAAACACAATTGAGCTAAAAAAAAATTCACACGGTAATTCATGGAAACAAGGATGACTGGGAAATCCGCTGTATCTAACTAGGTCTCAAAGACTAGGGGCCAAGAATGAAAAGAAAAAACATAATATTCTACACCATGGATGGAGATCTGGTATCATGATTATCAGGGAATCTGATGGCTCCAAGATCCTCTCCAAAGAGCCTTCACTCCTTGTCAACTTGATTTTTTCCCCACAATGATTAAGATTCTTTTCATAACATATTGCTGATTATGTCCCTAAAGGTATCTTTTTTGAGGGGCTATCAGGATAAAGAAATGGAAAAGGAAAGGGAAGATTAGTCACAAATATTCATCACTTTAGGGTGCCTGCTCCTGGGCAGCCAGGTCAGGTTCACATGGTTCCTTCCAGGAACTAATTTCTTTTTGTTTTGATTTGATTCTCTGGCATGACTTGTCTTTACAGGTACAAGTCCCCTACCAAGCTATTGAGTAAGGACTGCAAGAATTTTTAATCTAGTAGGACTTACTTTCATAAACACATATAAATATAAAATTCTCTCTCAAACTCATTTACAAACAGAACCTATAACATATTGTATAACCTTTATGGATGGCAATTCGAGAAAATATGCCTGGCATATAATAAGAATTCCAATATATTTTTTAACAAATTCATGAATCATTCAAATGTGCTTACCATTTGACCAAATAATTCCATCTCTAGAATATATCTTAAGGTATAATCAGACAAGATTGAAAAGATATAAAGCAATAAAATGAGAGCATCTAAATCTAAAATGATGAGTTACATTATGATAGCTTGACAATAATAAAATATTAGGCCATCAGTAAAAATAAGAGCAATCTTTGTGTTAACTATTTTAAAAATTCATAACATTTTAAAATGAAGATAGCATTATTCTATTTTAAATATATATATATTATAAACATTATGTAGATATTCCTCATCTAAAATTCTTGGTGCAAGTTTGTTTGGAGAATTCATGATTTTTCAGTTTTGAAAGTTAATACAATGCATATACCACATATTTTCCAAATCCCCAGTGATTCTCAGATGCCACTCCACGTTTGTGCCAGGAAATATTTAAAATATTCACACTAAATAGAATAATAAAGAATAATAGCCCCACATCAATTCAGGTCAAGTTTTGCCACCCAGTGAATTTATATTTTCAGCACTTTTTGGATTCTGGAAATTGCAGGCTAAAAAGAAAAGGCTTGGAAGAATACACACCAACATGTTAATGGTCATTATTTCTAGATGTTAGAATTATGAATCACCCTCCCCTCCCCCCATTTTCCACATTTATAAAAAGAAAAGGGAAAGCCAAAAGTAAGTTTTAGAAAACTAGGCATCTGGGCGACAGAATGAGACTCCAACTCAAAAAAGAAAAGAGAAAAAAAAAAAAAGAAAACTAGGCATACAATTAAAACTCTGTGAAGACCTTAGGAAGGACTGTCTGCAAATTCTGGAATACAGCTACCTAGTCATAAACTTATGGTAGAGTCCAGAAAAGACTGCAGGCCACTTCTGACTGACAGCTGGTAATAGGTCTTTATATCATATAATTGATTAGAAGTCTTAAGTCAAATAAAGTACCCACATAGTGGTTTTCAAACCTTCAAAACTGGTTTATTCTAATTCTTTTTTTTTTTTTTTGAGTCAGGGTCTCATTCTGTCACTCAGGCTGGAGTGATGTGTCATACTCATGGCTCACTACAGCCTTGACCTTCTGGATTCAAGTGATCTTTCCACCTCAGCATCCTGAGTAGCTGGGATGACAGGTGCAAACCACCACACCTGGCTAATTTTTTAAATTTTTGTGTAGACATGGGGTCTCATTATATTGCCTAGGCTGGTCTCAGGCAATCCTCCTGCCTCAGCCTCCCAAAGTGTAGGGATTACAGACATGAGACGCTGTACCTTTTCTAGTCTGATCCTTAATTTATTCCACCTGGGTTGATCAAAAATATAGTTTACCCCATTTCAAAAACAGCAAGCCTCAACTCTTCACAAATTTCAGACTTGTTAATTAATTGCATTCAACCCAAAATGCAACTCAAAGCAAATAGAAGTATAAAAGCCATCTATCTCCACACAAGAAGGCATTAACGCTTTCCTCAGATTCATTGTTGTTCATATTATAACTGATATCCACATTTGAGATCTCTGTCAGGAAGTTTAATACCCAACTTATAGCCCTTCCATGTTTACCAAAAGCTCAGTTGGATAAAAAATAATATTCAGAATTGAAGATAAAAGCATACCCAGTTCCATTATATCATAAAATATATCACTGCATCAAATGAGAACAGTTATCTGAATCTTGTCAAACTGCAGAATTTACCGCTGTACTACCTCTCTCAAATTTTACCAAATTGCAATTTACTATGAGGCCACTAGCATATGTTAAAGGATATTAGAAGAAACAATCTACAAAATGTATCACTGCATTATAAATGCCTTTAAAGGATATCACTGATATCACTTTTTGTGAAGATCTACTCAAGGAGAAATATTTATACCAAATCAAATCTTTATACCAAATCAAAACTTTATACCAAAACAAGCATGACTCTCATAATCAACTATCTGTCCTTACATCAGAGACAGTGAAGTGTGACTCCCATAATCAACTATCTGTTTTTACATCAGAGACAGTGAATGAACTGTATATTTCAAAAACTTTTTGTGTCAGTTGTTACAGAACTTAACTCATTCTCAATGTACCCTGTTACTAAACTATATCTTTAGCCTTATTTCTGGATTCACTTTTCTCTTTGTTCTCGGTTTTCTTTTTCTGCCTCATTTTAAACTCATACCCTTTTATCATACCCTAGATATCCCTTTTGTAACCAAGGCAGAACATAAATACTTTTATTGTATGCATTGTTCTAATCACTATCTAATGTTTATTGACTCATATATTTGCTGCCTATCTCCCTATCCTATCCATACTAAAATGTAACCTTCAGGAGAGCAGGAGCTTTGTTTCTCATTCAATACCATCCCCAGTATCTAGGATAGTGTTTGTACCTACATCAATAATACATAAAAAATAGAATGACCATTAAAAAACACCAATTCTACCTTATGCCATACTGTTATGTAATATAACTTTTTTTTTCTTCAGTCAAGAGTGTCACTCTGTCACCTAGGCTGGAGTGCAGTGGCTCGATCACAGCCACTGCAGCCTCAACCTGCTGAGCTCAGGCAGTCCTTCTGCCTCAGTCTTCCAAGTAGCCAGAACTACAGAGCATGCCACCACACCCAGCTAATATTTTGATTTATTGTAGAGACGAGGTCTCCCCAAATTGCCCTGGGTGGTCTCAAACCCCTGAGCTTGGTAATCCTTTCGTCTCTGCCTCCCAAAGTGCTAGGATTACCAGTGTGAGTCATTGCAACCAGCTGTAATAGAACTTTTTTTTAAGTAAAAACTGATCTTCGGCCTACATGATCTTTAATATGCTGGCATTAGTCTGCAAGAGGCCAAATGTACTTATAGAGAGATTCCATTATCTGGAAAATTTCCATAAACCTACATGCAAGATTGGTCCAATCCTAGACATTATTTCCTATGGAAATGTTCTAAAATATAGAAGTACTATGCTAATCAAATCTGGAAAAAGCAAAATACTCAATGGTAGGGAAATGTTTAAATAAATAATAGTCCATCTATATCATGTTAATCAAATAGCTATTAAAATTATTTATGAATATTTTAATAACAAAGAAAACCACTAATAAAATATTAAACAAAAAAATAGAAGATAAAATCACTACATATACACTATGAGCCCACTTTTAAAAATAAACAAAACAGAAAATCACTAATCATCAAAGAAATGCAAATTAAAACCACACTGAGATATCACCTAACTCCAGTCAGGATGGCTATCATCAATAACTCAAAAAACAACAGATGCTGGAGAGGATGTGGTGAAAAGGGAATACTTCTACACTGTTGGTGGGAGTGTAAACTAGTACAACCTCTGTGGAAAACAGTGTGGTGATTCCTAAAAGAGCTAAAAATCGACCTTCCAAACGACCTAGTAATCCTCCTTCTGGGAATATACCCGGAGGAATTCAAATCATTCTACAAAAAAGATACATGCACACACATGTTTACTGCAACATTATTCACAGTAGTAAAAATATGGAATCATCATGCAGTCCATTGAAAGGGGACTGGATAAAAAAAATATGGTACAGATACACAGTGGAATACTATACAGCCATAAAGAAGGAAAAAATTATGAACCTTGTAGCAACTTGGATGGATTTAGAGTCTATCATACTCAGTGATCTATCACAAAAACAAAAGGCTGAGTTCCACATGTACTTACTCACAGCAGACCCTGAACATTTATCATATTACTATAAGAAAGGGTTTGGCAGTAGTGGAACACTGCCAGGGGGTGGAGAGGGCACATAACATCAATAAGGGTACCTGATCTCAAACCAGGTGAAGAAGGGTCCAAAAGGAGGCCCAAACTTTACCTGTATGATGGCCTCTTATCTACTTAATCCTGAATTGTACTCTACATCTTTAAAATAAATAAACAAAACAAAATGATTGGCAATAAACCAACATACTGCACGTAAATATTAGTGGCCTTTGCCTCAAAAATATTCAGTTGATATATTTTCTTTCTTTACTTTTTCTATATCTTCCAAATTTTGTATCACATATTGCTTTACAACGAAAAAGAAAATTTTGTAATCCAGAGGTGACAAAAGTCTATGTTATTGTCATTAAAATCCTGAAAAAAAGGGTAATTTACTATAGGAAAATAAGCACTTTATTTGGAACATAAAATAAGAAAGCACTACAGAATAAAACAATTACTGTACCTTCACTGCCACGTGAAGTTTTGCTGTTTTCTTGGATGGTCCTGAGGCTTCATATGTTGTACCATCCACATCTACAGACATTGTGAAGACTGGGGCATGAACAGGGCCAGACTGAGATAAGAGCTTATACTGAAGCCCAGGCCGGATCTGATTTAGCCTCATTAGTGCATTCATAAGGTCTATTGCTTTACTATCCAGAACTGTTAAAGAAAAAGGAATGAAATTTAAAAAACTAGAAAGTTATTTTGCTTTAATCTGTGTATTTGTAGGATCCTAGTGAACACTGTATATTTACCAGGTTTCTAAAAAATGAGAATTAAAAAAAAAAAAAAAGGAAAAGGAAAAAGAAAAAGAGAATTTTAAAACACACATACAAGTTAACTTCATTCATAAGTAATTCTAAAAATACTTAATTAGTATGCTAACATCACTGTAAAAATAATATGTATTGCTATATATCTATACATTAATTTTCACTTGTCAATGTTAATGTATCCTAAATAATGGAAACACAAAAAGGTTATTCAATTATCAACTTCACAGTCAAGATTTATTCTTAAAACTCTAATTAAAATCAATCAATTTCTTCACTTTTTATCTTCCTGAGGCTATAAACCCTTTCTAGTTCATATCTATAAGAAAAGTTTTACACACTTTTCCTTAAGTTTCGTTTCATCTTCTTATTGGGGTCTTTATCATCGCCTAATCCATCTTCAAATGGCCTCTTTAGAGATGAAGACCCAGCACCTAAAAAAAATTATGAGAGATTCATTATCAGTCAAAACAATGATCCTACTTACTATACCAGAGATATCTAAAATGTTCAAGTAGGAAGATCTTAGGAATCAAAACAAGGGTCATGTAACTTTTTAACTGATCAATTAAATTACATTTATAATCTTGAAAAGCAAAAATTTTTAATGCACATCTTCAATTTAATGTTACCACGTTTTATAAATGCTTTCCCATTTATTCATATATATATATATATATATATATATATATACACACACACACATATATGCATATGCTATAGTGTGAATGTTTATGTCTCCCTCATATTAATATGTTGAAACTTAATCTCCAGTGCAGTAGTGTTAGGTGGGGTATCTGGGAGGTAATTAGATCATGCGATCCTTACCCTTAGTAAAGTCTCAGAGTGCTTATTTGTCCTTTCTGCCGTGTGAGGACACATAACTGACACTATCTATGAGGATCTGATGACGAATGAGCCCTCACCAGACACCAAACCTGCTGAAAACCTTGATTTGGGGCTTCCCAGTTATGAGCAATAAATTTCCACTGCTTATAAATCACTGAGTCTAAGAATTTTGTTATAGCAGCTAAACAGACTAAGCATATATTTACATCTGCTATATACATGAATGGAAAAAGTCTGTAAAACTATATATCAAAAAGTTAAAGTAGTTACCTCTGGTAGGCTTTATTTTTATTTAATATTATCTCAAACATTCTAAAATTTAATATTTATGACTTGCATAAACTTTAAAATTCCACGTGGTAAATCTTATGCTTTCAGAAATCTGATTATCAAACTATAAAATGTTCCTCTGCCTCTTCAAATCTGATTCAAGATTTACAGTTCACCTCTTCCATAAAGACTTTCCCTCATAATAACTTTCTGAAAGAGTTTCTATGGCATCAGAAATACAAAGTATTTCTTGTACTACAAGTACCAGACTATAAGATTATAAAACTATAAACAGTCTTGTATTACTGCCTATTTCATATATTCTTGTGTGTCCTTGGTGCTCTTTGAAGGGCAAAGATATTTTCTTCTTGTCTTGTACTTTACAAACTACCTTAACCCAAAAACTTAGAAGTATATTAACATAATTAGCATAGAGCAAAAATGATAGAACTAATTATCAATTTCTTAGATAAAGCAGCAAATTAATAATGTAGTCAAGCAAAACGCAGGAGTTTAGCTGTTCAAGTTTTAAAATATTAGCAAAAAACTCATCAACCTGGCCAAGTAAAAAACTCTCTGTCTTCAACTTAACAAGTTGGTTGTTTGGCTTTTCCTAAGGAAAATTACGTTTAAGATACTTATGCCACAAGATTTCCAGATACTTTTAGTGAAAGCTTGTAATAATGAGATTAACTATGTATTTTCTGATCAAGATTTATTGTTCCTTGAGGTAAACACTGACTTCAGCATTTGCCTGGGTCAATATTGACCACTCAGGTCAATCAATCTTGATGTTCTTTTCAACAGAAAGCAGTATCAGCTTAGTATTGTATTTCATTTACATTACATAAAACTGAGTGTGCCAGTCTCCCAGAATGCAGTCTTTAAGAGATAAAAGTTAAAAAGGAACTATGTCTATGCAATCTCTCTTCTGCTTATTAAGTTACATTAAAAGCAGCTCCCTGATTGCCTGGAAATCACAAGCTAGCTTTAACGCACAGATCTATTCTCTAAATCCTCTAGCTATACAAATAGAGTTCCACTGATTAAGCTTCATTCTTCCACTGGAGCTAATCATACTAGTAATCTGGAAAAAAATGAGCTTGCTTTACAAAAAGCAAGTAGTTTTCAACCATTACAATATTTAGTAATGAGAAGGGATCATTTCTGCAGCAACAATTTTTTAAAATGATATTTCAATGTTTACCATATGCCTGCCACTATTCTTAATACCTTACATGTATTAACTTATTTAATCCTCATGAGCACCCTATGAAGCCAGTACCTTTATCATCCCTACTATAAATTCATTCATAATATTCATCCAACAGCAAATATTAATTGAGCATTTACTATGTACCAGACAATTTTAGGTGCTAGACATATAGCAGAGAACAAAACAATCCCCCTGTTCTCAAAAAGCTTACACATAATGGTGGAGACTAACTATAACCTGTCATATGGTAGTGAGTGCAGTGGAGAACAGTAACAGAGGCTTAAGGGGGAGGAGTTTCTGCTATTTTAAATGTGGTGCTTATCAGAAAGGTATCACTAATGAGAAGATCTTCTAATGAAGACCTGAGAAAGTAAAATAGTGAACTATTCAGCCATTTGGAAAAATAATTTCAGGCAGAGGAAGCAGCAAATACAAAGGTTTTAAGGCAGAAACATGCTAAGAAACAATACAAAGGCACGCGTAATTAAAGTGGCATGAACAAGGAAGGAGTGGGGGGTGGTAGCAGTAGATAAGGAGAGCCAGGTTATGGTAAGGCATTAATGGACGAAATATCAAGGTTCCACTTCCAATATGAGAGAGTAAGTAAATCAAAAAAGGCTTCCTGATGAAAGCATTAGAAAACTGGACAAAATGTAGAATAAATATCTGTTCCTGAACAATGAGGAATGTTGGAATCAAGATCTAGGAGGTGAACCAGGTAGTGGCACACACCTATAGTCCCAGCTACTTAGAAGGCTGAAGCAGAATGATCCTGTGAGTCCAGAAGTTTGAGGCTGCAGTGCCCTATGATTGTGCCTGTGAATTACCATTGCACTCCAGCCTGCACAACACAGTGAGACCCTATCTCTAAAAAAAGGGAGGTGAAAGAAATCTTGCCTTGGGGGCCACATTTACCCTAGGGGCATCTTTCAAATCCAAAAGAGATCTCTAAGAACTAAGAGAATAATTCCAATAGGCTCTCAGGTCTCCAGGATACAAAACTGAAGTTTGAAGACCACCAAGAAGAGAAGGCCTGGTGAATCCCCCCATACTCTTTGTTGGGCCTCTGAAATGTTAAACACTAGAATAAGATTAACTTGAACATAATCTGGACCTTACAAGGACTGAAACCCAGCTTCAAATCATCTTAATCCCTGACTGCATTAAAATGATCTAAGACTGCTAATTTCATTAGCCATCTCCCAGAAACAAATATAAATCCTCCCTTGGGGAAGATATCATTACTCTAGACTTTAAATTCTTTATAGTTTTTCATTTAAATGAAAGAAGGTGATAGGTCTTTCAAAAACATACTTTATTCAACAGAATTTCTTGCAGAAAAATCTGAAACAATAGAAGAGCCAAAATTCTATGAATGAAAAATACAATGTTAACTAAAAACTGGCAGAACTGCAAGGGGAAATGACAAATCCACTATACTGGACAGATTGCTCTCAGCAACAAGAAGCAAACCAAAAAACACAGTACAGATATGTAAAATCTGAAGAACGCAATGAATAGAATGACAACAAAATTATGATCACTAACTAGAGAATATATATACTTATTCAGGACAAAAAAGGACCGTGTGCTGGGCCATAAAATAACTCTCAACAAATACTGAAGGACAGAAATCATAAAATTCATGTTCTCAGATAACAGTACAGTGAGAACTAAAAAACAAAAAGTTAGCTTTTTAGAAACTATTAAGTTGTCTGGAAATTAAGCAGTGACATCTAAATTTTCCATGGGTCAAAGAAGTAGTAACAAAGGAAAAAAATACTTTTAGCTAAATGACGATATAAATACTAATGTTAAAAGAATATGATGTACACAAATCTGTGCTTAAAGGAAAATGTTATCTTAATAGTACATACAATAAGAGGCTAAAAAAAACTCAGTAATATATTAACATTAATCCATCTCATTAAGTTAAAAAAAGAGCAGCACATTAATCCCAAAGAAAGTAGTAAGGAGGAAAAACTAAGGGTAAGAGCAGAAATCAATTAAATAGAATACAAATGTACAACAGAAGATGATCAATAAATCTAAAAGTTAACTTTTTAAAAGACTAATAAAAATTATAAACTCTTAGTGAAAGTCATTAGCAAAGGTATAAAAGAGGACATTACCACAGATACTATAGACAACAAAAAAGATTTCATGAATTATGTTATTCCAAAATACTTTAGAATTTAGGTGAAGGTGAAATGGATAAATTACTAGAAAAATACAATTTACCAAAACTGTCATAAGAAGATGGCAATTCTACACCTAGTAAGGAAATTAGATCCATAATTTAAAGCCTTTCCATAAAGAAAACCATATGCCAATTGCTTCACTGATGAATTCCTCCAAACAGTTCAGGAAAAAAACCCTCAGTTTTACACAAACTCTTCCAAGGAACAGAAAAGAAGGAAGCCAAAACTTAACAAAACACCACATCACAGGAAACTTGCCAGCCAACCTAACACACAAAACATGTGTTTTTGGAAACTGCTCACAAAAACCTATATAATGGTTATACTTATGACTGTTCACAGCAGCTTCATTTGTAATAGCAAAAAAACTGGAAACAAACAAAATATCCTACAACAGGTGAATGGTTAAACAAATTCTGACTCGTCCATACTATCAAATACTGCTGAACAATAAAAAGGAACAAACTACTGACACATGTAGCAACTTGGATGGACCCCAAGGGCATGCTGAGTGGGGGGGGTGTTCAAAATTCCATTTATATAAAATCCTTGAAATTATAAAATAAGCCAGGCTCAGTGGCTCAGCCTATAATCCTGGCACTTTGGGAGGCTGAGGTGAGTGGATTGCCTGAGCCCGCGGGTTCGAGACCCGCCTAGGCAACTTGGCAAGACCTCATCTCTACAATAAATCAAAAAATGAGCCGGGCGTGGTAGCACACGCCTGTAATTCCAGCTACTTGGAAAGCTGAGTGGAAAGATCGCCGGA